ATAAGTTCATATCTTTCCACAAATTTCATGTTGGTACTTGAAGATATAAATATAAACTCGCTGAATTTCTACCAAACCTAATTCAGGATGCCAATAAACAAAAGTTATATTCTACTTTGCAGCCCAGCATCGTGGCTCAAGAATCATGTCAATTTGCATACTTCTATTATCAACTAGACTAGGTCTTTTGATAAATTTTTCGAGTCATTGGTTTTTCTACTTGAGAGTGCTACTTGATATCGACTGGACTGGGGAACCTTGCTAAAAATTAAAATTATCACATAATTTTTTATGACAAACATGCCCTTGCGAGTTAGGGGGAGGTGCATAGCTATCATAGCATAAGACTGGTTATGACAAGGAAACACCAGTAAAAATAAGATTTTGTTAATTGGTTAATCGAGTTGAGGTATGATTATGAAGCGAACAATTGTAGTGACCTAGCTTAGTCTGTTTCAATCTCTTAGTAACACCTGCAGATTATGAGCATCAATATAATCTTTGCCCAAATAGGCCTAGGCCAGGCTAATGGTTATCGGATCCTTAAAAACGACCAAGAAGCAACGGGTGATATCTTACCTCTCTCTTGACATTTTCAAGCAGTTCTTCTTTCTCCTTCGCAATTTTCTCTTGCAAAACTATACTGCTGTCACTTTTGCGGATGAAATCCATCTGCTAGGTGTGCATAATCTCCAAAATTACATCTTTTTCACTGCCGGTCACTGCACTCAGTCACCATCATATCAATGTCGACTGAAGCATCTGCTCTGCTCACTTGTCTGCATCTTAACTGTCATATCTCTGGAGGAGTTGCCATGTAGAGCCGAGGCTTTCTTTAAACAGCCGTACATACATAAATACATACATAAATACATGCATACATGGCGTTTATGAGCATATCCACAACTAAAGTGTGGCTCTTCAACTCAGGCTAAAAAGGTTCTGTCCCCTATGTTTACAATTTTATTAAAAGAATAGTAAAATTGAAAATAAATGGAATGTACACGTCAAAATGAGAAGTTAAAGGATTAGAATAAAAGGTTTATTGGCAAGTCGTCCGTTAGCTTGCATAAAGAACACTTTCCGCAGGCTGTTACAGAACGAAGGCAGAGTTGTTTCGTGTCGAACAGTAGATGGCAGTTTGTTGAAATGTTTACTGGCATCCTTTCTACGGCATTTTTCTCGGAGCTTTGCCGATGTGCCCGTAAGAAAATACTGCAAAATAAGCAAGATATCACTAAATGATTAAAGATAAAGCAATTTTACAAGTATAACCAGTACAATAGAAAAATTATATTGCTAGATGCGCTGCTTTGCTTTGTGCTGTGATTCAAGTGATTCGTAAAGTGTTCAAAATGACCAAGCCAAGATGGAGGATGCATGTAGAAGGGGGATACTGCTAGTTAGTCACTAGTCAAGATTTTTGGCTCCAGTTAGTCAAACAAATTTTTAGTGCAAAACTCCCTGTTTCAACATAGTTTCATAGTTTCATATACTCACAGGGCGTTTAGAAATTGTTATCTTTATATCAGATCAAAAGTAATGAAAATTGAAATTATTTCCAAACACTTCCCCTAAATTATCAGTTAATAAGCAGTGGCAATGGGCCATAACAGTGACAGTAAACTTTTGTGTTCATCCCCCTCCCCCCATCTCTGATTACCTAATATGTTAAACATCTCCATACACATAGATAATTTGGTCTAGTTACAACCATTCTGATTGGGAAGCAAATGGATGGTTGATTTTTTTTCCTGCTCTTAGTTGTTTTTGAGGAAAACACAAGCTCATTTTTGCTTTTTTAATCACTTTAAGATAATACTGATTTGTCTAGTATAAACGATTCTCTCTCATCTCAGGATTGGAGGGGTGAAAAGGGTTTCTGCCCTGCAAAATGAGTGGTGCCCTGCAGACCTCGTAGCAAAGGTTTGTCTATAGGTTACTAGTGAAAGCTTTACCAGTGTAAATTTGTCTTTACCAAGAACAAACTTCTAAGCAATAAAAACAAACTTGAAACTTCATTGCCTATGAAATATCTATTTTTTTACGTAAGCGTAAATTAAATGTCAAATTTGATTTTCCTTTGTAATAAAGCTTGTATTTCATGGCATATCAAGTTTAGCGAGGTAGGAGGACCCACCATGGTTGGGTCCGACGCGAAGAAAATTTCGAAATTATACCCTGTAAAAGGGCTAAAAGGCATCTCCCAGACTAAAGTTTAGCAAAATACTATATTGCTAAAAAACTGATTATTGTTTATTGGAAAAATAGGGAAGGGGGGATGATATGCTAAAACTCTAGTGATAGACGTTGTGGAAGGAAAGAAACGGTAACCTTTCATTTAAGATTGCACATAGTTGTGAATGACAGAGCAATGTTATTTTGATTGGGAGAATTTTATTTCCTGGACAGAAATGTGCAGCTTCCTATCTCCAGAAGGCCTTGTTTACACT